CATGAGTCTCTCGTCTTACGAAAGCCTCGCAACCACAAACCTTGATATGTGCCAACGAGGGAACCTTCCCTGTCCATATTTCGTGAGGTGTTTTGACAACCTTCTTAGTTGGGACTAGATTAAGGATATTGGCGGCAGTCTGTAAGGCATACCCCCCAAATGAGAATGGTAATGAAGCTCGACTCATCATGGAACGAACCACGTCCAATAAGGTTCGATTGCGCCTCTCATCCACACCATTCAGCTCCGGTGTCCTAGGCGGCGTCGATTGTGAAACAATTCTACATTCCTTAAGATAGTCGTGGAACTCGATACTAAGATACTCACCACCTCGATCGGATCGTAGCATCTTTATCTTCCTGCCCAATTGATACTCCACTTCTTGCTTAAACTCTTTGAACTTTTCAAAGGTTTCCGAGTTGTGCTTGATTAAGTAGATACATCCATATCTGCTATAATCATCGGTAAAGGTTACATAGAAGCGGTTAGCATCGCTTGTGGCGGATTTGAAGGTTCCACACACATCAGTGTGTATGAGATCCAACAAACCCTCACCTCTTTCACAAGTACCAGTGAAATGTGACTTGGTCATCTTTCCAAGCAAACAAGATTCGCAAGGCCATATGTTATAATATTGTGCCAACTCATCCTTACAGTTCACAACTTGTCATACAAATATATATATATATATATATATATATATATATATATATAATATATATATATATATATGTAAACATATGTTTGAATTCAGAGTTTCTTTTCACTGATCATCATCAACTTTGTTACAACCATTTAATCTATTAATGGCTGCTGCTAAAACACTAGTGGGTACATGCAATGGCATTGTCTGTACACATCCAGACCCCCAAAGAGCTTACCAAGTTATTGTTGCTGCCACACGTGCAATGGGTATTGGAAACGATGGAAAATTGCCATGGAAGTTACCTTCAGACTTCAAGTTTTTCAAAGATGTCACCATGACAACATCAGATCCAGTGAAAAAGAATGCTATTATAATGGGAAAAAAACATGGGAAAGCATACCTTTAAAACACAGGCCACTCACTGGTCGACTAAATGTTGTTCTAACTCGTTCAAGAACTTTTGATATTGCAACTGCTGAAAATGTTTTAATGTGTGGAAGCATGATTTCGGGTTTGGAATAATGGAGGGATTAGCTACAACTTCACTTAAAAATTCTGGAATCTGTATTGTGATGTTAATAAATAAATTATTAAAAAAAACTTGAAGAAACCATAAAATCTCAAAGACAAGAAATGCAGATTCAAAGAAACATACCTCAAACAAAATTCATTCAAAAAATCAAAGAAGATAGTATTTCTCAAAATCAGAAACAGTTTCTGATTCTTCTCTTTAAACCGGATATACTTCCTTTCGAATTTGTATTTGACTCTTCAGAATTAATGAATCGATTTGACGATTTGGCTTTTAGGAGAACTGGAGATCTAGAGTGTGGAGATGTCGAGAACGATGAGAAGAAAAGAAAAAGGATAATCGGTGGCGATTAATAACGAATCAACTCCTAAATTTAGGCGTGTAAGTTTCCCTAGAAATCTGTTCGATTGCTTTGATTTATGCGTGAGATGTTGTAATTTCCCCCGTGTTCGTGTTCAGCTCCACAGCCCTGGGCTAAAAAAATTAATATACGATTAATTTTGGTCCAATTAAACTATACATACCATAAAATCTCTCGAAAACTTGATGCCCCCAAGATCAATGATGCCCTGGGCCATGGCCCTACTACCCCCGTGGGCTGACCGTGGTCGACAGCTTGCTATTCTAGAAGATTGTTTGTCATAAGATGGTAAACGAGCACCATGACAACCACTACAACCACCATATGTGCAACCATAACAACCGAAGCAAGAAGAGACGGTACCGTGATTAGGGTTTGTAGAGAGAAGGGAAGAAGAGAATGAAGGGTGATCTTGAAGTGGGGTATTTAAAAATTTTAGAATTTTAAGAGGATTTGATTTCCCCCTTGAACGCGCTTTTTGAGTGAAAATTTATTAAGCGAGGACGCACATTTAAAATAAGCGCCTTCAGTGTTTGTAATTTTTTTCTGGGACAATAATTTCAAGGTACACACAAATGTGTGTCCTCTATCCTTCAAAATTTGGAAGGCTGACATTATTTTTAGGATACACAAAAATTGTATATCGTAAATCAGTGTGTGTCATTGTTTGCGTGTCATTAAAGGGTATTTTTCTTGTAGTGATGTTGACATATACAAATAACAACAACTACCAAACAAGTAACCACATATATTTATAACAAATCGATCTGCCTAACACTTTACTACAACAAACTAACATCCTAACATAAAGAGGATATATACTGTAGTACAAAGTATAATGAGAAAACTCACCTCACAGCCGAGCAGACAAACACCACAGCTCGTAGAAAAGTAAATGCTAGTACTAGGAACAACCTAACATTAAATAGAGGTCAAACATTAGTCTAACACCTAAAACTACCAAGTTGACCAAAAGTCAACCTGGTCAAAAGTCAATGATCAAATTCAAAGATCGAGTCACCGTATCGTGGCCAAACTCTACGGTCGCATCGTGATGCGTAGACGAAACTATACTCATGATTGAGCCTGCCACCGCGTAGTGGTTTACACATCACCGTGTCATAGCCAAAGCCCCAAACAACGTAATGGGTTAAGCACTTAACACTTAACCTCCAGAGCTTAAAATCTCAGATTGGATTCTTCTAAAGATCTTAATGGATAAAGTTTCCAACTTTATCCCTTAGGACATCCCAATAAATCAAGATCTAAAACCGTAAGTCCAAAAACCTCACAAAAGGTCATAACTTGTGGATATACCCAAAACAAACCCCATTTCTTCATTGAAAAAGGTCCAGAAGCTAAACATATCATTTAGAGGTTCTGGAGTTCATCAAACTCCAAGGATACAAAGGTTTTGGGACCAAAACATCACATAATGGACACAAAACCCAAGATACTCATAGATCCGAAGGTAAAATCTAATAAAGCATGGAATTTTTTGACTTACAAGGGTCCAAAATATGAATGAAGGTTGACTTCTTCAAGGATTAATCTCCCACCATGAATCTTACAAGCGACAACACCAAAACAACCCAAAAAAAGTACAAAAAATTGATAATAATAGAGAGGAGATGCTCAAAGTTGTGAAAGGGAGGCTAGGGTTTGTTCCTAATGAGCTCTTGACATGATAGAGGCAGAGAAATGGCCTAAAACATGGAGGTAGAGGCTTTAAATACATAGGAAACCCTAGTTTTATGGGCTTGGGTTGCACAGCTCACCATGTCGTGGTTACGGGCTTTCACAGATTTCCTTTCTAGCTTTAAAAAATCATAACTCCTTCGTTCAATACTCGTTTTCGGTGGTGTTTATATACACGTGAAGGTATTAACAAGCCCCACAATCCTATATAATTATTTTCAACTTAATGCATACCAAACTTAACTAATTAGTACATGCAAAAGGGTCCAAAATATCACTTTTTCCCAATTTATCCTTTTGGCTCCCAAGGCACAATTCAAGGAATTAATTCACATAAACCCATATTATGAACATCTAATATGATCTAAACTTTATTCCCTTGAAGCCCAAGACCTTTACTCGATCAAATTAGCATCCATTATCCCAAATTTGAAACTTCTCGAAACTGGATGTTACATAACTTTAAAGAGAAATTCATCACCAAGCTTTCCAATTTAGCAACTCTTTTGCTATTGTTGGCCTTTGCAAGCAGACCCTCCAAGGTGTCCAATTCCTGTTTCATTTCTAGCAACTTCTCCTTGTAGTATCCAGGCTCCAACCAGTTATCTATCTAGTGGAAGTACTTACATTTCTTCCTTCGAGTTTGCATCAATATTACATTTAAAACAACGATATAAATAAACCTTTCCAATTCAAACACAACGTTATGATCAAACATCTGAATTAGAACAAATGAACGAAGATCATAACTTTCAAGGTGGACCTCACAAAGATCATTGCTCAAATAGGAGCTCACAAAGATCATTGCTTAAATCGAGGCTCACCAAGATCATTACTCATATTGGAGCTAACCAAGCTCATTGCTTAAATCGAAGCTGACCAACGCCATTGCTCAAAATCAGAATCACAGATCACCAAAGATCGCAGATGAAAATGTGAGGTCACACAAACATCACACATCAAAATCGAAGGTCAGAGTAACCAAAATCCAAGCTAATGAATATCACATTCAAACATAAAAACACAAATTTTAAATATATCGAAGAGTACCATGGACTTTGGACAATTCAAAAAGCAGTGTGCAAGGTTTTTTCTCATCCACAAGATCCTTTCGAGGGCATTGAACTTATATAAGCATTTCTTCACTTCGCCTTCGTTACCGAAGTGTTGTAGGGCTGAGTTGCAGGAAGAAGATGGTGACATTGTGAACAAATGGTTTAGAAGAACTATGCTTTTGGCTGTCGAATAAGGGAGCGAGTATGAAGGAAGTGTGTTGAACACGGGCATCAATTAATAACGGCTTGGCGGTGTGTCATACACGTGGGATAATCCTTCCAAGTCAGCATTGCCAACTCAGCCTCATAACCGGCTAAACCTTTAAAATCTTGCAAAGAGACTTAACTGACATGTTAATACTAATTTTATTGTACAAAAGACACCTTAATAACCAATTAGAGTCAAAACCAAAAATTTATTGTACTATAACGTGAAATCTTTTTTTAGGGGATCCCTTTTTCTTCTTTTTTACTTTACACTTTTCCTTCGTGGCGCCGGTCTCAATATTCAAAGGCATGATTTGTTCGCACACTAAAATAAGTAATGTGCAAATTGAGCAAATAAAGTTTCAAATATAATTTCAAAAGTCGCTCGTATGTATATATTTTATATTCAGAAATTATCCCAATCATTAAAATATTCAATTCAATATCAATGTCCAATAATATATAAATATACATTACAATTACAGCCATATCACTAAACTTCACACCAACTACTTTCTTCATTCTTAATTCTTACTAACAAAATTTTTTAGGCCTAAACTCGATACCTTGAATAACAAGACCAGTCTTCCAATTCCCTCCGTTGACCTCCACCTCCGCCGCATCACCACCTCCATTAAAATACTCTCCGATCTCAATCTCAAACCATCCATCGTCTCTTTGTTTCAGACCATTCTCTTTAGAAGGCGGAGGCACCACATCCCAATTCGCAAATCCTCCTTTACTAAACATCCCAATTCCTCTCCTTGATCGGAGACCTCGTCTCCGCCCTGCTTCAGGGTCGAGATACACCATCCGGGTTTGACTCCGGTCGCCGTGAAAACCAATACAGACCTTCACCGGTTGGTACTCAAACCCATAAGCTTTCGATGTTGTTTTGAACACAAGAAGAGCAACGTAAGTTGTATCAGGGGAGAAGATTGACGTATTGATTTTGCCGATGATTTCTAGCAAACTCACACTGATAAGTTCTGCTACCTCTGTGAATCTGTAAGCCGAGATTTGAGTTAAATTCAAAGAGATAACATTTTGTAAGTCCCTAATCTGCTTGTGTATCAATCAGATCCGTTTGATGGTGCGGAATCCCAATCAAACGGATGATGTCAGATCAAATAGAAGAGAAGGAGAAGAAGAATAATGTGAATCTCAATGTATTAATGAATAGAATGATGATCCTTTACATGAGATTCACACACACTCACACACACTCTCTTTTCTCTAGTTTCTCTCTCTAGAACACCTTCAAATGCACACACTTAAGCTCCTCTAGTGTTCATCACTCTACTCCTCACCCCTTACACCTATATTTATACATAAGAAACATGGGCTTGGTGAACATGGGCCGTAAATGGGTTTACGGCCGTAAACCTGTTTACGGCCGTAAACACAACCGTAAACACGTATACGACCGTAAACACCATGCTGTTTACGGTCCAAGACACAAAAATACATTTTCCTAGAAAAGCAAAGTATAAACCATATTTTTGACCCAACAATCTCCCCCTTGGTTTATAGCTTTCTTTTCTTTTCTTAAATGACCAAACAAGCTCCCCCTAAAAAGTAGCTGGCTTTCTTGTTCATCTTCATTGTAAGCTTGGCTTCAGCATTTATCTTCAATGAATGACTTCATCTTGAGCACTTGGGCATTTCTTCAAGATTTGACATTAAACGCACATTGGGTGAGGAGGCTTGACGTACTGATTCTTGAAAGATAGCGCTTTCAGTTTGAGAATCTTCAGAGAGAACATCAGAGAGAACAAATCTTCTGGATCACTTCAGCAGGTTAATAGATAGCAGCAGACTGATTGAGGAGGCTTCAATGCAATCCGTCACCTAATCTTCAAGTGCAGCTTCACCTTGCTTCTGGGGTTGAAAGATTGAATGACGAAAGAATAATCTTCATTTCTTGCTCCTTCGAATGAGAATTCTTCGATGATCACAGATGAAGCCTTGGCTCAGAAATCTTCGACACAAACTCCATGAGTTTCATCTTCACCTGAATTCACTTTTCAAGACAAAACAAAACTAAAAGAAAACTTAGCACACAATATTTTTGGATTTTTCATATTTTCTGAAAAACAAATAAAACAGAAATAACACTATTTTTGGATTTTTAATTTTTTTGATTTTTGTTTGGTTTTCAAAATTTTTAATTCTCTCCTAATATTTAAATTAGAAGAAAACTATGAACAAATTAAACAAAAATAAAAATGATATCTAACTTTAAGAGTGATTTGGGATCAAAGTTTTTACACAACCTTTATCCGTTTATCAGTACCTCTCCCTTCATGAATAGATCTGGTCAATCGCCGGTATTGTGTTCCACTTAAACACGAGAGATTATGACAAAATTAGGACATACTATAAGTGACAAGACAATGTGATCCTAATTTCCTAGATAATATTCCTTAAGGACCATTCAGCTGACGATGACCAAAGATATTGTTATCCACCTAAATTGAGCAGCGAGATCTACAGACAACCTAGTGATTGTTCAATTTTAAATGTACTAGAACATGTTTCCCGCTTCCTGACATACCCCAATAATCAGGAACTTCCAAAGTACTCCTTACTTTAGGTGAGCAGACAATTATTATGAGAGAAGTCAGATTTAGAATGCATATGCTATACACCCAGGTCGGATCTCTTCCAATCACCCAGAGGGTGAAACATATGACTAACCATATTTAGAGGGATTGAGAAGTAGAATGGTGCATATGCTGTGTACCAGGTCGGATGGTTAATCATGCAAAGGAGACAGCATATGGCTAACAGGCAGGAAGAATTGCATAGATAGAAGATACATAGAAATAGAGTTGCATATGTTGCATTCCAGGTCGGATGTATTTCAATCACGCAGAGGAGGCAACATATGACTAACAGAAGGAAAGCAAGAAAATAATTTTCTACAGACCTACTTTATCGGAATTCCCCAGTCGCCCCATCAATACCGGAATTAAGGACAAAGTCCGTACATCGAGGAAGAGTTAAACCACAGTTCTAGATACGGATAACTTTAATGTGACCGGTGGATTATCATGTATATCTCCCTGCTCAACCTATCTGAGCGTCGTATTGTCAGGCTAAATGGATCTATCTAGGTCAAGATTTTTCAAGTCTCTAGATTCCTTAAGTTCACCAAGCCTAGTCAAATCCATTTTAATCTCTCGTGCCTACCAGCGCATCAAACACAGAGCCTAGACAATTCAGATTCAGTCCCTTACACAGATTCAGATTATCTGTTATCACATGATTATATCACTTCCCACAACATCTCCCTCAAGCACATTCCATAACCAACATATTTTTTTTTTGATTTTCTGATTTTCAAATGTTTTTGGATTTTTTAAAATTTTAAAATTTTTGTTTTGTTTTTATTTCTTCCCCTAAATTTGTGCATAGGAGAGAAACGAAAGTAAATGCACAAATTTAAACTATCCTAAAACAAAAACTAGTCTTTAAAGCGAATCAGCTTAAGAAAAACTCAGGAGTATAGAGAGGAAAACTCAAACCATAAGTCACCGATTGAATTTGCATCCAGAAGGTCTGAGAACAGCACGCGTAATCTCAGAACAGATCCGAAAATTCTTCATGTCATTAAGCACTAACCCCGTTTGTGATCTCTTCCTTTCTTCCTTTCCCGAAAAGGACACATACTCCTAAAAAATGTTCTGAGTGTTGTACAGTTGAGATATGTCTCCTATCATGTGCCAGGAACAGCCACTACCAACAAACCGAAGTCTGATGATATGCCTCCATAGCTGCTCCGACACAGAGCGGGATCAGTTGGTCTTTGGAACCCAGTCCATTTTGAAAGTGGGTCGACCTTTGCAATCCTTGCACGGTACTCTCTCCCATGACATATCCTATTTATCACAAATAGAAGATGAAGAAATATTAGAGTCATTAGTTGATTTGGGAGAGTGAGCCTTTGGAACCCATTTGTAGTTGGGTTTAACCCATTTCTTTTTCGATCTGATGGGTGGCTCGGTACTTGATTTTGAACTTGATGTCGGCTGTTGAGATGACTTTGATTTTGGCTTCACGGGAGCATCTCTTGGATTTGGCTTCTTGGCCGGCATTTCCTTCTTGACTTTGGGATTTTGATTCTTGTCCTTTAGATTTTGATTCTTGCTCTTCTGTGCATTCCAGTCATTATTGTCTGAACGTGACCTTGAGGGGTTTCTTTTGGAATGTCTCCCTCTTGGCGCGTTTTGCCATCCATGTGCGTAGTAGGGAACGTATGTGCGATTTGGACAGTTTCGGGCAATGTGACAAGGTGTTACACAGTGAAAACAAGTCTTTTTCTTCACTGGGAAATTGTTTCTTCCTGCCCATGGTGGCGTGTCTTTGCCTTCTCTCTTGCTTTTCCCACACGCACAGTTGCAGCATGCATTCTGTTTAACTTGATTTGGTGGCCTGTACTTCTCAACAACAGGTTGATCAGAAGCAACTGAGTTCGAAGCAACAGATTCAGAGCTCAAGGAGATGTTGGTTTGTTCAATGGTTTTCTCCTTGTTCTCATCTTCTACTACTTTACTATCAGACACACTCTCTTCAGCTGCTTGCTTGGATTGATTTAAGGATTGATCTGCAGGGGAAGTAGAAACGTTAGCATTTTCAACATTAATAAATCCTCCTGAAACAAAACCAGATGGCTTGCCATAAACCATGAATGGTTCGTTGGTAGTCTCCTCTTTAGACAAAGGTTGATACTGATATGTATGATTAAAAGGAGGAGGTACATTATCATATCCTAAACCCTTTGATTGATTATGTTTAAATTGCATGCAATGGTCTATCATGTTGGCAACTTCTTCGCTTGATACATCAAACTTTTTAAAATCAAAATTTGCAGTTTCAAATTGCCCTTTTAATGTATCAAGCTCAGTAATTAACTCATCATTCTGTCTCTTGATATAATCATAATGTTCACATTTTTCACTATAGTCTTGCTGAATTTTCTTAAAGTCCTTTATTTTTGTTTCTAATTCAGCCTTCAGGGGTTTCTGTCCTTTCCTGAGTTCATATCCTTCATATCTCAGGTCCTCAACTTCTCTTTTTAATAACTCAATTTGTTCCCGAAGAAATTTAATCGTATCTTCACTAGATAGTGTACATGAAACTTCACATGATTGAGAACATGAAACTTCATTGACCGGAAGGTTTACGGAACTCATTGTTTTTCTACAATTCAAAGCGTCAAGTTCTTCAATTATATCAGCAAGACTAAGACGATTGAGATCTTTTGTCTTCTTGATGACAGCCACGTTCATATCCCACGATTTCGGAAGTGAATTCAATAGCTTTTTATTTATCTCAGATTTGGTCAAGAAGATCCCAACTATATTCATCTCAGTAGTGAGTGTGGTAAACCGCTGCAACTGAGCTTCCAGGGTTTCTCCAGGGATATAATCGAACATGTTGAAGTTTTGTCTTAACATCTCCTGACGACTCTCTTTCATGTCTTCAATTCTCTCGTAGACCTCAAAACCATTTAAAACACAACTAGAACTTAAAATTCAAACCCAAAAAAAATATTCCCTTTGACTATAAACCTCAAAAGTCAACCTTAAAAGTCAAATTTAAAAAGTCAAACTTAAAAGTCAAACTTGAAAAGTCAAACTTAAAAGTCAAACCGAAAAGCTAAATTTGAAAATTTAAAAGTTAAATGAGAAAGTCAAAGTTTAAAGTCAAAGGTCAAAATTTAAAAGTCAAAGTCAAAATTTTAAGGTCAAAAGTTAAAAAATAATGTCAAAAATTAAAAACTAAATTTTTTTGGATGAAAATGGAATTTTAAAATAAAAAAAATTGATTTTTTTGGGCTAAAAGTGCCAATTTGCGAAAATGGGAACCGAGAAGGACTGGTTTTGAATTAAATTTCGAAGGAGAGTATCGTCTGGTAAGTCAGCTTAGTTGGTAAGGCGCTTGGTTGTGTTAGCAGGAGACCCGGGTTCGATCCCCGGCACCTACAACTCTGTTTCAATTTTTGAAGTGCGAAGGCGAGGCTGCTTGCGAGGACAAGGTGCGAGGCTCCTGAACGAGGCGAGGTGCGAAGCGCTGATGCGAAGCTTGCTGCTGCTGAGTCGACTTCCTTAGTCGTTCACCGAGCCGAATTCCGAACCGATGCCGCAAACTCCGGCGACCATAAACTCCGGCGACCGTAAACACATTTACGGCCGTAAACTCTGGACCGTAAACCCTTCAAAGACCGTAAACACAGCTTCAGATCGCGAAAAAACGACGTTTTTCACCATTTTTGCTCCAAAACTCGATCAAAAACTCGTTTTTATGAGAAACGCGAAGAACAAACCCCCCCTAATTTTCAGAGATCTATCCAAAAACGCAAGAACCTTTCCAGAATAAGATCAAATCGGCTCCAGATCTGACAAAGATGAGTGATACAATCCAAGCTCTCATACCACTTGTAAGTCCCTAATCTGCTTGTGTATCAATCAGATCTGTTTGATGGTGCGGAATCCCAATCAAACGGATGATGTCAGATCAAATAGAAGAGAAGGAGAAGAAGAATAATGTGAATCTCAATGTATTAATGAATAGAATGATGATCCTTTACATGAGATTCACACACACTCACACACACTCTCTTTTCTCTAGTTTCTCTCTCTAGAACACCTTCAAATGCACACACTTAAGCTCCTCTAGTGTTCATCACTCTACTCCTCACCCCTTACACCTATATTTATACATAAGAAACATGGGCTTGGTGAACATGGGTCGTAAATGGGTTTACGGCCGTAAACACAACCGTAAACACGTATACGACCGTAAACACCAAGCTGTTTAGGGTCCAAGACACAAAAATACATTTTCCTAGAAAAGCAAAGTATAAACCATATTTTTGACCCAACACATTTTGAATTTATCATCTGTAAAAGGTGTTAATTAATACCTTGATTCTGGTGTTTGTGTCCATATCCAACAATTTGGAAAATCGGAAGAAGCAATTGACAGCTGTCTCGCTGCTAACATGTAACATTTCTTCCCGCTCCCTTTATCCAACCAGAAACTCTGTTGAAAAATAGATGAAAAGAAAAATCCGATCCACACAACTTTCGAAGCTTCATTCCTGTTTGGAGATCTCAAAAACGACATTTAATTGTTTTGATTGGTAGAAAAACATCAAAAAGTGTGAAATCAGATAGGAAAAATTTTCAAAAATATACCTTGCTTCCTTCGTCTATGATGACTGGATGATCGCAGAGACGTAGATATACCTCCTTCTTCGATCCGACTGCACCACCGTCCTCCGTCTCCAACAAGTACTCCGGCGGTGTGAAACTCTCCCAAACGCTGTCCCACTGTGCCGCCTAACGGAAAACGGAGTTGACGGTGGACAATCGGGAAGCATCTCGAGGGCTGGTGAGTGCCAATGCTTCTGCTACGAATCCTTCCGGCAAAGATTGGAAGAAATCCTCCATAGCAACTTTCAGTTTTGAAAAAACTTGCCAGATTAGTGGTTGAGTAATCATGGTGTGTGGGTATATATGGAGAGACTACGTCAATGGATAATGTGTACGAATAAGGTTCATGAACAAAAAGTCAAAAACCAAAAGTGGGAATTGTTGTGTCTTTTATGTGGTGTACAACTGTCCATTTTTCGTTGCTTTCTGTACTTGTGTTCAAAAAGTTATTTTACTTTTACTTTTATTTATTATTTCCTTGTTTGTGTTTTTAGTCGTCATTATAAACATGTTACATTTGAGTTGTTAATTTCATACACGTAAGGGAAAATATGTAAAATAGTTTTTTTGTAGTTTAATGAATGGCTACTTGGCTAGTGATCAAGTTACTTTTACAAATAGAGGGAAAATTACTTATGGAGGTAACTATTTCTTATGTTTGTTAACATATTGATAATTTTTTTATACACCTATAACCAACTAACTTGTTCATATTATACCATTATTACCGGTTAACATAGGTTACAACTGACGTGGCTAATTTAAGGCTTGACTTGCATATACATTATGCTACATGGCATAATACACATCATTGCATTATAAAGAGGGTGATATACGGCTCGTTCATTAATTAAGCCCTAGATCGACATTGACAATGGCTTCTTCTGCTTTATCTTTCTCTTCCAAACAAAGTCACGAATTTCAAGTTGACCATCCATGTGATAACAAGGTACCATCTCATATGAAGACTTCAAGGACCCCCGATAATACTGGAAGAAAATTTCGAGTGTGTCAAAACGCACTGGTAAACCATTTTTTTTTTTTTGAGTTATTGCTAATGGATGCCTCTTCTTCATCTTTCCCTTAAATTTAACCTTTTTAATACTTTTTTTGAAGAGTATAAGAACTCCAAAATGTAAATTTTAGGCATGGGTGGATGAAGATGAATGCACAACGGATGGTATAAGAGAAGAGAAATTGGGAGAAACCTGCAATTACATTGGAAAACAAATTAGTATATGCACGATGAAGCTGGAACAAGTGAAGAACATCGATTTGGTTTTCAGACAAGAATTTGACAAAGTAAATTGGAAGTTGTTTACTCACAAAGTTGCATTGTTTGTGTTATCTTTCTTATATGTAAAAGATATAGTTATGAAAGTTTGATGTGTTCTTGTATCCTACATGATGTATTATTACTAAATCTTGTAGTTCATGAAGTTTTGAATGTAATGAAAGTTTGATGTATTATGACTAAATCATGTGTTCTTGTTACTCGATGTAATTGGTAGAAAAGTCTAATTGCCACAATGTAATTGACATAAAAATCAAATACAAACATCTAAATAATCATTACAAGAGGATCATTGCATATAAGTTTAGAATTTAACAGAATTCAGTAAATGGCAAGAATTTGGTATTCTTTCATTTATCATAAGGATTTGGAATTGTGAAATGAGCATCATTGAAATGTTGTCAATTGATCTATTTCACAAAGAAAGGACCATAGGTAAACATAGTATGCATGCTTGGAGCATGAGATAACTATTGTTTTAATTCAAGTATTAAGTTGATTAGTCGAAACATTATACAATGAATAATGTGTAATCAATATGGTGATTAAATAAAAGGTGTTTTATTTATATTCATAAGTTCTAAGACCATATTGGATTCGATTATTCTTGTGTTTCACTTTTCATGTTTTGACTTCCCGAATAACTAGGTTATTCAAACTATCCACAGTCGATCATACTTTGGAAGTAGGTATTGAGGCAAGACTGTCATGAATCTGACTGTAGATTGTCTAGGTGTTTTAGAAATAACACAAGTTTGCTGCAGTGTTCATGAGTACTCCTGGAATAAGATTCAAGTACTGGATTAAACCCACGCTCATCTGAATCACTTCATGGATTTTATCATGAGTGATTGTGAGACGATAATATCTTATATTCTTGAAACCAAGACATGTGAGTTGTTATTTACAAGTCGGTTGCACATTGACATATGTAAACGCACCAGTAACTTGGTGTTATAAAACATATTGTTGTGTGTGATTTGATGAGTAAGTACAAGCAAGAATTTGAGTCAAAGTTTATCCATTCCTTTTACCCTTAGAGGGATAAAAGTGATATATGTGGGCCCCTCGATGATTTAGTGATGACAACCCTAAGTGCTTGGCCAAGCCTGGAATGATTTGATTTGTTCAATTAGTCGGTCGTCATAAATTGGAAATCGGGAAACAACAGGTGGACAGAGAGAATGATTATAATCCATGTCTCGGTCCATATGATATCTTGTAGAATAGAGGAATATATGATCCCTTATCTAATGGACGCGTCATTGACTAAGTCAGAGTTTGACAGCGGCTTTTAAGAGCTACGATTGCTAGTTGGGTTGTGGAGTCGTACTTGCAATAATAGTTATTAGACTTATCCAAGTGGGAGACTGTTGGATTAGGTGTCTAAGCCCATAACTATAATTGGTATGTACTTGACCCGAGAGTAGCATGGTCCATTTCGGGTTGCATATCACCAGGACAATTTGATAGGATGGATACTTGAGTAAGAGGTTACTTATGATTTATTAATATATTATAAGTTGTAATATATTAATATGAAATCATATTATTTAATTAGTATTGATCAAGAATTAATTTGGAATTAATTGTGTGATCAAAAGAGACTAATTAAATATATGGGGATTGATTTGGTAAATCAATGATTCTTGTAGTGTGGGCCAATTGTTATTTAGGATGGGCTAAACCAATATGGTAATCCATGGATAGTCCATGGAAGTTTAACCCCATGGAGCCTAGGTAATATGAAAGGTCATGGGGATTAGGGTTTGCATGGATGTAACCCTAGACTTTTCCACACTATAAAAGGACTCCCTTGGCACCTAAAATCAGACACTAGAGTTTTTGGTGTTAATTAGAGCCGATTTTGGAGTTAGCAACATCTCTCTCAAGTTCTCCTTTGTCCTAGGTGTGTTGTGAACCGTTTGAGGCATCACACTTGGGGTGCTAAGTTCTTAAAGGCCAAAACTACAAGCTACAACAAGAGGTAATTCTATAACTCATATTTATCTTGTTTATATCAATTGTATGCTAGTTGTAGGATGTTAGGTCATATTTAGTTGGTTTGAGCTAGGCATTCATTTGTATAGGCTGTGTTAGTATTTGTTCATGTATTTGTAAGGGTTTTACGTTTGGGTGGTGTTTGCGGTTGGGTGTGTTTACGGCTGTAAACTCGTTTGCGGCTGTAAACACGTTTACGGCTGTAAACGTGTTTGCAGCCACTGTTCCCTATATATAGTGTCAGTTGGTGTCAGATTACTGTAGCCGTTTACAATCGTATGTGTGTGTTTCGAGTCCATTGTACCTGATGTTTGCAGCTAATATAAATGTGTGCAATTTGGATCATTCTTGCTTCTACTCCTTCTTCTTTTATCATTTTTGCTTATTCTTTGTATTGATCACTAGTTGGTTCTTAGTTTTTAGGGACTTACCATTGGTATCAGAGCCAATCTAGTGTCAAATCTGATCAAGCTTAGTTTACGGGTGTAAACGCGGCTGTAAACACATCCATTTTTGGTGATTGTTCAAGCTTATTATTGCAAATCTTCATTGTTGCTGCTAATTGTTGCTTGGTTTTTACTACTGATTGTGAATTCAAGGCTAAAAGGATCATAATCTGTGTTTTGTCAAAAATCTGGACGTTTGCGGTTGTAATTTGTTTATCAATTTACAGCTGTAAACTATTTTCCGGCTGTAAACTCTTTGGATTTACAGCTGTAAACCCTTGTTTCCGGTTGTAAACCATTCCTGGCTGTAAACCGTTTACGACCGTAAACCCTCATTGGCAGTAAACCTTATTCGGCGGTAAACCTCTCTCGGTTGTAAACCCTTTGCGGCTGTAAACCTTTCACAGCTGTAAACCTTTCTCGGTTGTGATTCTCTTTGATTTTTAAACAAGTTTATTTTTAATTAAAATTAAAAAAAAAACTAAAAAAAAAATGGAACCACAAAACAATGCAATTCATCAGGAATTGGATTCAATCATGGGAACTACCACAAGAATTCCACGTCTACTGTCTGCCGAAGGATTTCCTGAATGGAAATACAAAATCGAAAAATACATCAAAGTGAAAGATTTCAAGATTTGGCGCAACATTCTTAAGGGTCCAGTTAGAATCACTACTACTCTTGAAAATGGAACTGTAATTGACAAAGAGTTTGAAGACTACATGAATGAGGATTTTGAAAAAATTGAAGAACAGGAAAAGGCTTTGGCAACTCTAACAATGGCTTTACCCCCTGACATCGCTCAAGGTTTCAGGGAATATACTTCTGCCAAAGCACTTTGGGAAGCACTGATAGAGGTCTATGAAGGAAATGAAGATATGAAACAAAGCAGACAAGACATGCTTCGTCAAAAGTTCAACTTGTTTAACCATGTTCTTGGAGAATCTCTTGAGGCTCAACTCCAACGATTCATTACACTCACCACTGAAATTAGCACAATTGGAATTTCTGTACCACGATCTGAGATTAACAAGAAACTGCTGAATTCTCTTCCCAAGTCATGGGACATGAACGTCTCTGTAATCAAGAAAACCAAAGATCTCAACCGACTCACTCTGGCGGAAACAATGGTTGTCATTAAAGCTTGCGATTTGGATGATAAGCAAATAGAGATAAACCATGTGAACTCCTACTCAACAGCCAATCTGGGAATTTCATCGAACAATGCATTTTCATCCTTCACTGTTCCACGAACTCAGGTTTTTTCTGTACCACAAACCCATACTATACTATCATCCATGCCATATGCACAAAACCATGATGTTTCTCATTCAGCCTCTTCTTTAAAAGCTCCTCCTTCTGTATCCACTCCTAAGGAAACTGAAGAGAATATGGCTCTAGCCTTTGGTCTAGTAAATTGCTACA